AAAAACTGCTTGATTCGCATTTTCCGTAGAATAACGGCGACAGAGTTCTTGAAATTATTTTCATCTGCGGTACCACGAAAATAAAGATAACGTTGTTGACGGGAAACTGAAACCCGATACTATGAAAAACAAAGAAATATTTCGACGCAATAAAGACAATGGTCTTGCAATGACAAATTATTATAATTTATTTCAACTCGATTTATTCAATAATAATAATTAAAACCATTAGAGTAATTTTCAAAAATCCTATTTATTTTTATTTTTTGGTAAAAGGCTTACAATATAATCATACAGAGTAAATGCATTATTAACACTACAAATACACAAGTCTAAGCTATGAAAAGTACAGTGTATAGGTTGTTTCTTATCTAACTTTGGTACATTATTAGCAGCACTAGTAAATTCTAAATTAACAATATGAGAAGGAGGCAGGCGTTTTGTTTCAATTTCGGATAAAAGTTTGGCTAGAAACTCATGCTTTGAGTGGCCCTTGACAAAGATGACGTCAACATCTCGTAGATTCTCATAGACAATGGAATAAATTTCTTGATAGTCCAGTTCGCCATTATTATAGTAGATACCATGATGATTTCCACATAGATATTTCACTTGCCTTTTATAGTCTTGTTTGAGCTCATGGAACGGAATTGCAGGTTTGAACATGTAGCTTTGCATATTTTTACCATCGTAGATGGCTAGTTCTTTGGCGTAAAATTCAGGTGTGCAGAAACCTTGCAGGTCGACGACTACAAATTTCATCTTGACAAGGCGTACAGGTGACGGTAACTGACTAAATCAAGCTACGGACAGTGCCTGATAAAGGCAAATACTCCAAAACTCTGTCATGTACAATGATGCAATAGGCTCGAGTATCTCTTGGAAAATTTTCAGAACTGTGCAGCTCGAGCCTAACATCGACTGTGCTACTTTTCAAAGCTTCATTCTGTTTCGAACAGTCTATTACAAACAAACATTGATTTGCAAACGAGCTGAAATCCAGTAACGGTTCAGCATAGGTCTTTCCCATATAGGATTTCTGGAATTCGGTGTACATGCGATACGCTTCGGCATATTGTCTGTTGTCGAAATTCAGATTCAAAGATTCGTAGGGGTAAACTTCAGAGTTTAGGAATAGTTTGATATCGGTAATGTTGACATTATCGAAATATGTGACGTCTTTCTGATAGTTGTCTTTGCGGGCAGTTTGGAAAAATACGATAACGTATCGAGCTCTCTCCGACATTGATTTCACAGTCCAAACATCTTTCTTTGTGTTTCTCATTGCGGGCAATTCGTGAATTTCCCAATCACGGAACCCGAAAAAGATTGGTTTATTTCGGGAAATTTCCTCCAACAATTGCAGTTTTAGGACATCGTTGGGATAAATATGTTTAACTCGCAACTCAATCGTCGATATTGATATAGTAGCCTTTTTATCGCCTGTAGAGTTTACGTAGCAATTGTCATCATTTCTAGCTCGAACAAGTTTCAGTTTCTGTTTTCCCATAACTGCACTAGTGTAATCGGCGAAAACACCCAGTAGAAAACTTAACGGTATTAGAAAATTAAAGTCTTTTGTTGTTTCATTCAGGGTTTTGAGCGGCGTACCCCATCCTGCGACGTCTAGTGCTTTGCTTTCGTGTTCATTAAAGCATAGCAAACTTTTTATCGTGCTTGTCAGTCCAGGATCTCGAACTTTCTCAATTTCTCTTCCGTTCAATTCATAAGTTATGGTCTCGAACAGAAAGGCTCCCACATTATTTGTCAACGAACATGTTCCTGTCGTCCCACCACCACCACCAGCACCTGCCACTGTATTGTCCTCCTTAAAGTTGGCTTCAATGTAAAGCTCAGCTTGACTAATGTCCATAAAGACATCTTGCTGGTTGATAACTATCTCAATCACATCACTGTAGTTGAATGATTTTGTGAATGGATGATATGTATGCCATTCTTCTCGAGAAATGGATTCATCCACGTTGACCGGGTGAAATATTTGAAGTTTTTCCGATACGAAAACCATATTTGTGCGATAAAGAGTGTAAATAAATCAGACTCTTGCGTGTGAGTGCCTGCTGCTGCTGCTGCTGCTGATGTTTCGTCGGTGTCTGACTACAGACTGGAGAGGACTGAACGTATCTACTACTTATATGTCGTTGCTGCTGCTGATTAAAAACTAAAACCATGTTTCTTGAGTTCCAATTTTACAACGATTTCTTCGCCTCTAAAATTGACAGGTCTTGCTTCCTGATCCAAAATACTTATGGTGATGTTATCGATGCTGGTTCTATTCACCGGAAGATAAATCAGATTTCTCGGCTCAATAATTATACTATATCCTGGATCAACGGTCGGCGTGAATTCGTATAATGTATGCGAAGGATTGTTTGTATAATAGGATCCGGAGATAATGTTGCACTCAATTCGTATAGTAGTCACTTGTATAATCTCAACTGGAATATCGGATTCGTGTAGCGTGTTTGCATCTAGGATGAGTGGTGAGAAGCCCAGCAATTGTCCGATACTATCTTGGGGCTCAAAGTCTATATCGTAAACACTCTTGAGCTCGCACTTTAAAGTGTTATTGTTCGGTTTTAAAGACAGTAAATTATCACCACTAGTAGCAGCACCACCACCACCACTATTCGCAGCCAATTGCTTTTGAAGGTAGCTTTCGATATCGGCAATTTCGTACGACCCTGTTGGAATTTCGATTACTCGCTCCTGCTCGTCGTCTTTGCCACTCGTGTAGTAGTAGTAAAACTTGTTTCGTCCAGACTCGATGTTTGGAATAGAATTCCAGGTACTCAAGGAAATTAGGGCTAGCGAATAACTGTATCTAGAGTCTAATTCTATTGGTGGATTAATGTCAACAGTTAAACAACTGGAGCGACCTTTCAACGTGAACGTCTGAGACATGACTAATGCTTCTACTAAACACACACTTGATTTTATAATTATTTTATTATCATCAATTATTGAATAAAAAACTTAATGCTAAATGTCCACAATTGTATGTATCGAACGTTTGATACTGATCGTGATTGTAGAAAATTTCACAATTCCTAAAATAGCGAACAACTTCTTTCGGCGGATTCAAGTTGCCAAAACTGTCGAAATATTCAACCAGGTTTCCGCGTTTCTTGTAAGCTACCCAATGTGTTCCAGATCCGCTGATTGTGTCCAAATTAATCACGCCACATTCGATTTTTCTCGGTCTAGACGGCAATGTATCACGCATAAACACTCCACGGAAATTGGCTATTTTCAATTTGGATGTCAGATATCTAATGTCTTTATCGCTTAGCGCTCATTTGGGTAGCTTCACTGGTAGTTTTTTGGCATCTTTTTCAAAAACAATCCATGTCCGGTCTTGTGTTTAGCCAGATATAAACCGCTCCCCTTCCTACCCAAGGCAATGGCTTCCATGGCCCGATTATGTCTTTGAGATTCTTTGAGCTTGTCGGCTGCTGCTCGGGCATCATTTACGGCTTTCGCAATCCCCGCTGCCCCTCCGCTCAATGCACCCATCGCACTGAGACCAGCAAATATGGGAATTAAAGGTAAAACTCCTCCAACTTTGGGCACTTTGATAACTCGAGGTAATTTCACTTTTTTTCGGCCACCAATTTGCTTGATTGTCATGCGGGCAGCTTTCAGTGCCAATTTTATGTTTTCCTTTGTTGGTATTTCTCCTCCTGGACCGCCTCCTACATTGCCATACTGTTTTACATGTTTTTTAATTTTGTTCAAGATGCACGATTTGAACGGTTTAGTTTGTTGTCGTCGTCGACGCATGCCCATACCGAGTTTACGTTTGGCTTTCATCACGTTTGTCACTAGCCAAGCTGCACTCTTCTCACCGAAACTAGAATCTTTGGCTTTAACTCGTTCCCAAGCCCTGTTCTCCAACACCTTATCGGCTTGATGTCTTTTATGTAAATCCTCCCTGTTTTCAGAGTATGCAATGTCGTGTTCTCGGCAAGCTGCGTCCAACTTGTTTTTCGGCTGATCACCTCGGGCTAAACGTTCAGCAAGTTTCGTACCAGGTCCACAATAGGAATAGCCTGGGAGATGGAGCTCGAACGGTAGCTTGTTGATACCACTATTTAAGAGACCTTTACCCTTCAGTGTCTCCATTGCTACTGAGGCAGTGGTCAAGTAAACACTGTTTTATAAAAGATGCGCGCAGAAAAACAGAAACTCACCATCAGAGTTGATTTTAATTTCGATTTGCCTGAAAAAGGAATGAGTGAGCAGAGGAATAGACATAGTGAGCTTTTGCCAAATACGATTAGAGCAATTATTTGTGGTCCTAGTAATTCGGGGAAAACCAATGTGATGCTGAGTCTGCTAACCGACCCGAACGGACTCAGATTCGAGAATGTCTACGTTTATTCAAAGTCACTATATCAGGAGAAATACAAGTTCCTCGGGCAAGTGCTGAAAAATGTTCCAGGTGTAACCTTTCAGGCTTTCAGTGATAATGATATGGTGTTGGATCCGGAGAATACGAAACCAGATTCTGTATTTATATTCGACGATGTGGCTTGCGAGAAACAGGACAAGATACGAAACTACTTTTGCATGGGTCGACATAATGCAGTCGATTCATTCTACCTGTGTCAAACGTATTCCAAAGTGCCCAAACAATTGGTGCGAGATAACGCAAACGTGTTGATTTTATTCAAGCAAGACGATATGAATCTGAAACATGTCTACGATGACCACGTGAATACAGATATGTCTATCAAACGGAAGTTAATGTATTTGGCAGAAAAAAACAGGGAGGCAGATATATGCTTTTTTTTCAAATCAATTTTCACCTCATCGTGTAAATATATGATACATGTATACCTAGTCCAAACTTTCTAATATTGGTTCTCCTTCCAAATTAGATAAGTAGATCATAGAGCATTTTCTACGTAAAAAGTAGGACTTTTACTCCAAACTGAATATAAAAATCAATAATCATCCTCTAAATTTTATTATTCCAGGGGATGTAAACTTGAACGACCTCGTATTGAAACGTTCAGCTTTAGACTCACTCGACCTACCAATTCAGACTGTTTATGGAAAAATAGGTAAGTTTTTATGTGTGACAATAAATTATCGTAAACAGTGGTTAACAACTTTACATAAATATGTTTAAACGTATTAGCAATAATGAATCATAAATGTCTCCCTGATATGACCTTCCCTCTAATAAGGTTAACTAAACAAATATAATAGACGACTTAATTTTCATTCTAGGTAGTTTGGTATTGAAAGTACCATGGACCTCAATCTACACAAAACCGACAATAGTGAAAATCGAGGATATCTACCTTTTGGCACAACCAAACCAACAGGTGGTATACGATCCTTTGAAAGAGGATAAATGGTAATAAGATAGAAATATCCTTTAAATTAATATAAACTGGCAAGAAGTGCTTGTTTATACAAAATTCGCAATCAGCTCAAATATTTATAATAAAAATTAAAATGTATCGAACTAATTTTAAGGTTGCTTGAATCCAAAAAGAAGGAAATACAAAAAATCGAAAATGCCAAGAAAGCGGATAGAGAAAAAGACGTAGCTCCGGGCGATCCCACTTTGGTCCAAAAAGTTATCCAACAGGTCATTAAAAATGCACAAGTTTATATAAATAATATTCATATAAGGTTAGCTATTTAATAATTTAGCATTGTCAATTTTCATCGAACTAAAAACTATATTTCTTTCAGGTATGAAGATAAAGTAACAAATCCTGGAAAACCATTTGCAGTTGGCATAACCTTAGCAGAATTAGTTATTGAAAGTACTGATGCTAATTGGAAAAAAGCTATCATAGAGGAAGTACAAAAAATTTACAAGGTAATTATTATTTAATTGTATAAAGGGATTCCTCGAGGGATTCCTACTAGTAACTGGTTTCTCTTTCAACTTTATTCTGTTACTTTAAGTTTTTATCTAGTCTTATGATTTCACAAAGAGGATGCAGATGATTTCATTAAAATTGTTCAAGTATAGGATGATCATTGGAACAAGAGATTTTGAGAATCAGTAACTTTCCTGTTGCATCACTTGCATGCATGTGTATTTAATATAGCCAGTTTCATAGACTACAACTAAGGGATTAACTCGAATCTATAAAATTGGCTAGTATAGATAATATTAACGCTGTCATATTTTGACCTCAGGTGGTTGAACTAGAAGGATTAGCCGTTTACTGGAATTGCAACACAACAATGTTGAGTGACCTGAATCCTACCGAACTCGTTGCAGCCATGAAAGATGAAATTACATATAAAACGAAAGTGCCACCAGGATATAACTATAGTGAGCAGAAAGTTTTTCAAACCATTATATTTAATAATGTAATAACTTTTCTATATAGTCCTGGGACCAATCACTGCTGGAGCCAGACTGATAATGAACCAAAAGCCGATGTCCGATGCCAAACCTTTCAGTACCCCAATGTACCATCTCAACTTAGACATGGGCAAACTTTTTATAGGAATCACCAAAGCACAATATAGGGATATCATAAAATTTGCCGACTCCATGGATAGGATGGTCAAAGCAATACCATATAGTAAGTTAATGAAAAATATTGTAATTTTTACTTATTTGAATTGGGATTTTTAGGAAAATTTAGACCAAATTTGACCACATACAAAGGTCACTATAAAGACTGGTGGCATTTTGCTTACAAATGCGTTGTTGAAGGTGAAGTGAAAAGACAGAAAAATAATTGGGATTGGAATCATATGCTCGCCCATAGAGAAATGGGCAGAGAGTATGGAGAGTTGCTTAAAAAAAAAATAAACAAATCTGTAAGTACTTATTGGTAATCATAAATTATTTTAATGAAATTAATTTGTTTTAGTGTACACCCGAACAAAAATCACGTTTAGTGGAATGCGAGAAACATCTCGATTTAACAAGTATAGTGATAATAAGACAAAGAGTTGAGCTGGAAACTGAAAAATTGGAACAATTACAGAAATCAAAAGAGCCCAAGAGGTGGTATTCTGGATGGTTTGGTGGTGGTTCAGACACTTCCCAACAAATGAACCAATCAACAAATATATGTAAGAATTTTTCATTACGTCATAACAGGAATCAATACATTTATATTTTTTAGTGGAGCAGTTTGAGCAAGAAATGACTGCAGCCGAAAAAGCTCGTCTATATAAAGCTATAGATTATCAAGAAAATGCCCCTGCAGCAGCATTTCCAGAAGAATTTGTTGATAAATCTATCAGTTTCTTGCTAAGGTAAGTAAAATCGCATAAAGCTTCCATATTATTACATATTATTATCATTTTTTAGAACGCTTGAAATAGAATTACGAGATGATGCAGAAGAAGAAGTACAAACTGTGCTATTGACAACATTAAAAGGTGTCAAAGTTAAACTGGAAACAAGAATATCAGCCGGTGCCTTGAAGTAAGTTCAGTTATTAGCAAATGTTTAAACTAATAATATTCATATTTATTAGAGCTCAGGTTGCAATTGATCACCTGAAAACCGATGGTTTGAAACAAGAAGATTCAGTGCCTGCCCTTGTTATACCAGAAGAAAAAGAAATTCAAGGCGTTAAGAGCTTACTAGATGTCACTTTTGAAACTAATCCATTAGATAAGATGTGGGTAAAAGAGGTTTTCATAAAAATAAAATATAATGCGATGTTTTGTGTTCTAGGTGTGACCAAAGGATTCATGTGATAGCTAAACCTTTGAAGATTGTTTATGATGCTCTGACTATAAATAAAGTGTTGGATGTATTCAAAGTTCCACCCGATTCTTCTCTTGATCAGTAAGTACATTTTTATATAAATTTCCTCTGATTACGTGATGAACATCTGCTAAAATATATTTGGACAATATAAATACAGTATATGATAGCTTACCTGCAAATATTTAAAATATTGGGAAAGAAAGTAGGTTTATTGAGGGACTGAAATTAGTTCAGTTTTAACTTGTTTTTTGATTCCTATGATTTGGTCTAAGTCTAGCCTGTTGATTTGAAAGCAAGAAGTGTTGGATAATAAACTGAGGTCGCCATCCAGTCTATTCTTAAATGAGTTGGTATTGGGTGCTGCGACTGTTTCTTCGATCAACGAATTCCACATATAGACCACTCTGTTGCACAAGAAATTTCTTCTGAGGAGTCTAGAACATCTCTCTTTCTCCAATATTTTGGAGTGTCCTCGAAGGTTCTCGTTGTCACTTAGAGTATATAGATTCATGTTGACAGAGTAGTAATTACTTCGAATTTTATAGGTTGTAATGAAATCCCCTATTGACTGGTAACATAAAGTTGTTAGGTTGAACCGCTTCAAACGGTCTTCTTATATGAGGTCTCGAATTTCTGGTGGAATTTTAGTGATTCTTCTTTGAACTCTTTCTAATGCGTCAATTGTCCTTGGCATAGTATGGATTCCAAACTGACTGAGTACACTCTAGCATGGGTCTGATGAATGACTTATATATTTGTAAGGTTGTAGTGATTGAGTGGTCCTTGAATGCTTTTTTCGTCAGGTAGGCCACTGAGTTAACTTTTTTAATGCATTTTGAAATATTTGCTTCTGGTTTCAAATTGTTGGTTACAACAACGTCAAGATCTCTCAGTTCATCAGTAGATACCAAAGTTATGCCATTAAGTTCGTAATCATATAAAGGATTGTTGGTGGCAATAGAGTTGCGAAGGTAAAAGTACCGACGGCAAAATTACCGGTAATTTACGTATTATTACATAATAGGCCAAGGCATTTAGCGAAATAACAGCCATATTTTAACATAAAATTTAACAGCAAACTATCGATGCAATATTGTTAAGGATCATTTATAGATGCTAAAAACCAAAAATGCAACATCTAATTACTTTTAGGGGATTTTATAAACAATATTTAGTGCAAACACAGGGCTTTTTTTTGTTTATTTCACTGTATTTCGAAAACTAAGGATCGGATGGTTTTGCTACTACGGCAATATTTCTAGAGCATTGAACAAGCTTTACAATGAGCCATCATACAACCCTGTAGGTCTTTTAGTCTTCGAGAAATGATTTTTTTCCCCCCAAAAAAAGAGATTTTCGTAAAAAATTCCTAACTTTTTTAATTTTCATGCTAGATAATTAATTTTTTACACATACATAGTAGATGAGGCAGGCTTTATTGAGCCCAAATTTGGGCCTGGTCCGATGGGTCGTTTCGGCATAATACCCTTGTCAAGCAAAATGGGGATGTTTCTAAAGCAGTCTGTCGAATTGAGGATAATTTTTTTATATTTATTTTGAAAAGTCCACTGATAAGTCGAAATGCCAAACTATCGATCCTCTATCTCAGATTTTCCATTTAATTTTTTCAGCGCAAGTAAAACGGCTTCGAACATGACTGAAAATGGAAAAAATTGACGGGAATTCAAACGGAGTGACAGCGAGCTCCCCCCCGCCCACGCAAATTACATTTTTTTTCCATTTTCAGTGATGTTCGGAGCCGTTTTACTTGCGATAAAAAAATTAAATGGAAAATCTGAGATACAGGATCGATGGTTTGGCATTTCGACTTATCAGTGGACTTTTCAAAATAAATATAAAAAAATTCTCCTCAATTCGACAGACTGCTTTAGAAACATCCCCATTTTACTTGACAAGGGTATTATGCCGAAACGACCCATCGGACCGGGTCCAAATTTGGGCTCAATAAAGCCTGCCTCATCTACTATGTATGTGTAAAAAATTAATTGTCTAGCATAAAAATTAAAAAAGTTAGGAATTTTTTACGAAAATCTCTTTTTTCTACAAACGTGTTAAAAATGCAATTTTTAACACCCCCTCGAAGCATTAAAAATGTTACTTTATTGCACTAGTGTTAAAAGTCTTTAAGGCACTAGTGTTAAAAATGAAACATCAAAATTTGAAAGCAAACGTCAAAAAAAGTTTGTATTTTTAATTATTTACATTAATATTAATGGTAAAATTTGAACAACTGAGGAAGCTCCATCGGCCGCCTCCTCTATATTTTTCAAGGGATTGATGCAACCCTCTTTTTCTTGTGTATTTTGTTGCATTTTTAGCAAAAAGCTTACTGACCACGACAGACTTTCAAGAAACTGACAAGACATTTCATTACCTGTAAAACAAGGTGCCGGTTGTTTGAATTTTTTGACAAATATCAAATTCAATAATTTTACGTAGGAAAGATGCTTCCAATTTATTATTCATTTAAAAATCCAATTTGTCACTGTTTATTGCTTGTTATTGCCGTTTGTAGAAAAAATATTGTATGATATTTGTGTTAAAAGTATTTTTAAGGCACTATTGTGAATTGCAGAATTCGCTTCGCTCATTCTGCAAACTTTCACATGCGTGCCTTAAAAATGTACTTTTAACACTTATATCATAAATAACTATTTTGGGGGGAAAAAAATCATTTCTCGAAAACTAAGAAACCTACAGGGTTGTATGATGGCTCATTTTGAAGCTTGTTCAATGCTCTAAAACTATTGCCATAGTAGCAAAACCATCCGATCATTAGTTTTCGAAATACAGTGAAATAAACAAAAAACAGCCCTATTTTTGCACTAAATATTGTTTATAAAATCCCCTAAAAGTAATTAGATGTTGCATTTTTGGTTTTTAGCATCTATAAATGATCCTTAACAATACTGCATCGATAGTTTGCTGTTAAATTTTATGTTACGAAAAAATTTATCTGCCCTGGCCTATAATATTGCCCATATCCCGGTAAAATTGGTAAAATTGTCTTAGAATATAAACACAGGTGTCATAGCATTCGTAGCAGTAGAGACTTCAAAATTATTAGGGAAACCAATTGATGTGTGTTAAACTTAAATTTGTCTCTCTTCATTTTGAAAAGTAAAAAGCAGTAAAGTTAAGAGTAGGTGGTGAAGTATGTCGACAATCACAATGACCATGGGTGGTAATTGGTGATATGAATAAAAACGAAGTACGTGCTACTACTACAAGTATTAGTATATTCTTCGCAGTATTTACTTCACAAAGAAGCATTTACTAATTTCCGGTAGTTTTAAAATGTAGTATCTACTTGGTTTTGTGGTAAATACTACGTAGAACATACAGAAGCAAGTACTTCGTTTTTATTCACAGGTACCACCCCACCTCATGATGATTTCCGTGATTAAGACTCCCATCCTTGAAGTCAATATACACATTATTTTTACTTATTTGTAAACTTACTCTTTATTCTAAACAAAATTTAGCCAAATAATTATATACCAGCTATAAAAGTAAAAATGTTTAATTGATTTCTTAAAAAAGTTCATCTTACCACCATTAGTAGGTATTCTACAATTAAAATCAATGTTGCATCATTGTAGAATCACCAAGTTATTATTTTTCAATTTGACCAATTTCACCGGTAATATTACGTAAGATTGCCGGTAATTTTGCAACTCTAGGTGCCAATAGGCAGTGTGAATAAAAAATCAGTATAAGCTTTTTCCTATGTTTTCGAAGCAAAAGATAGGTTCAGTGAATAAGAATAAGTATCAGCTTTTACTAAAAAGGATTGTAGCACAAAAACTGAAGTGCTTTAGCATTTTCTAAAAATGGTGTGAATAAACGCAAGCAAACGCTTGTATCAAGCAAAAGCTTACATTTTCTCAAGTGTTACAAACCTGGCTTGAAAATGTGTAGATGTGTTTAAAACTTGGGCAGAATGGCTGCATTTATGAATATTAGGTGTGTAAAACATTACCAACCTACCCGGTTAGAAAGGAAAGTCGTCCGGCCCAAAGAATACCGATCACATGTATGTATAGATTAAGTTAGTGTTAAGTGTATACTTAGCTGAATACTCCTTGGGAAAAAAAGTAAAGACTACACCATTTCAACCTCAATTTCGGAAAAAGTAACTTTTATTTAGGAAAATGTAAAGTTATTTTCGGAAAAAGTCAAATCAATTTCAGAAAAAGAAAAGTTAATTTCGGAAAAAGTAAATTCAAATTCGGCAAAAGTAAGCTATGAATTAATTAACATTTTCCGAATTTGAATTTTTTTTTTCCGAAATTAACTTTACTTTTTCCGAAATTACCATTACTTTTTCTGAAATTGATTTGAGTTTTTCCGGAAATGACTTGACATTTTCCTAAATAAAAGTTACTTTTTCCGAAATTGAGGTTGAAATGGTGTAGAGGTGGCATTCCAAAACAAAAGAATGCAAATATTTTCAAGCAAATAAATACATATAGGGTTTGGAGAAGATAAAGGTGTACATAAGAACAACAACATGTAAAGCGATATCATCTCTTCCCAAAAATCGACAAAAAGGGAGATACTTGGATTATATTTCCAACAGAAAAAAAAACTGGATGGATATAGCAACTCCTGAATGGGCATCTCATTTTCCTATGCTATTGCCTATTGGTGCAACAGATTGTACTGATTTTGACATGATAAAGCCATCACTACATGGTGATAAGACTGATAAGTATTTCAATAGGAAAAGCCACTGAAGGAAAGATACCAACACTTCATTCGTCTGTTATCGCAAATATTTGTAACGTAAGTGAATGCTTAAAATATGCAGCTTTAACTAGTAAGTAAAAGCATAAGGTTATTCACACCATTTTAGTCAAATGCTAGTAGCAAAAGCTAAAACTACCTAGTGAAAGCTATAGCTAATACTTAATACTTAAAGCAAAAGCTTTATTTTTAAGCAAAAGCTTTATTTTTATTCACACTGGCCAATATGTACAGTGCATTTGTTTTCGTTGAGGGTCATCAACCAATTCTCACACCACTAGGATATCGTCAGTAGGTCAGATTTAACG